TCTGTAAATGTTCATTAAAATTATTAAAAAATAAAATTATTAAAAAAGTTCACCTCACATCTTAGTTTATCAATTTCTCTTCACAAGATAAACCATCATGGTTTGGTATATAGCAGAAGTACTTTATGTGTATTTTCCATTTCATAACACAGATTATTAAAAAGATATTTTCTCATGAGATGAGTTTGGATAAAACAAATAATTGTTTATGCTTCATCAAGAATATTCTTTAAGTAAAATTGGCATATCTGTTGTTTTTACTTCAGTCATGGAGTCCTAAAGAATATAATAGAGATCTATAGGGTTTGTTGCTTTATTCATGTAGCGCAAGTCTGTCAATTTGTTTTTTATTCTTTTGTGGCTTAAATATTTCTGTAATTCTTGAAGTTATGATACCACTATTTTAAATACCTTCAGGCTCACTCCACTCAGGTGGACTATATTCAGTGAAATTTCTGCACCAAAATACACTAAAAAGAAAAATCTGATGACACAACATAAAAAATTAACCAGTGAAAGCCCTGTGGATTAGAACACATTGTTCAGTATAGTACTCATCCTTAAATTGCATTACACTAAAAAACCCACATGATGGCTAAAACAATAGTGTGAGTACAAATTGATATTAAATATAAGGAGGAAAGATATCCATAAAGCAGTTTTTATTTTGTTGCTTATTACAACAAGTATAAAAGTATAAAAAATATTCATGAAGCAACTTTTGTATGTATAAAAATGGAAATAAAATACCTGGATAGTATAATTCAGTGAAGGCAATTCTGATTAAACTTTTACTCCTGTTTTACATCTATCATTTAATTGTTTTTTACAAGAGGATAAAGTCTATGTCCTGAGAGAAAATTATCAAGAAATGAACTCAATATTTGTCAAATACAAAACAAAAACTCACTCTTGTCGAGTTGATTCTAACTCACAATTGACCTATACAACAAAATACAACAGTCCCTTAGAGTGTCCATAGCTGCAAATCTTAATGAAAGCTTATTGAACTGCCTCTCTCTTCCAAAAAGCAACTGATGGGTTCAAAGGATTGGTCTTTTCATTAGTAGCTGAGAGCTTCAACCACAGTGCCACCAGAGTACTTTTTATATTCCATCATCTGATATGCATGTACAATGGATAAGAAAAATTTAAGAATAATTGATGTCTTCAAATTGTGATGTTGTTGAAGAATGTCAAATATATCACAGAAGTTCAAAAAAATAAATTTGTCTTGGAGTCGTGTGGTCAAAAAGTTTGTTGGAAACAAGGATGGCAAGACTGTTAATTTACTTTGGATATGTTGTCAAGAAAGGCCTCACCATGGAGAAGGACATTGTACTTGCTAAAATAGAAGGTCAAATAAAAAAGGGAAAGCATGAATTAAATTAATGGATTGTAACAGTGACTTCAACAGTGGGCTCCATCATGGCAGCAACTCTGAAGATAACATAGGATCAGACACTATTTCATTTTGTTCTAATAGAGGTATTAAGAATCATAACCTGATAGTACCTGCCCAGGTTGACAACACCTAGCAGGAACATCATAAAACTTTCAGAGGACCCTGAAATAACTTACTTGTTTAGTAATGCCAGTATCATCAGACCCTGTTGAGGCTTGATGAACCATACGGCCTTCGAAAACAGACTTTACTGAATTGATAAAAGTAGACTTTCCAGACCCAACTGGACCCAGTAAGAGAATGTGAATTTCTGGAGTCAAGCATGAACTGGGTTTGTAGGCTTTTAGTTCATCCAAGAGGGATTTTCTCTGCCTGTTAAAATGCAATTGGAACATACAATTTAACTGAATTTAAATTCTGCTGGAGCTGATGTTTCTCATCTTTGTAAGAAATATTAGAATTATTTGGTCAATATTTTGACCATTAATTATTTTGTATGATTTATAATGATTTTACAATTATACATTTTGTATTTTAGGAAATATGCATTTATTTAAGCAGCAACCAAACATAATTAAACTACTAGACTTGTTCCACATAAACCTAACATTACTCAAACTGAAAACAGATTGTCATTTGTGGTAAGAATTTTATACTAAGAGACTTGAAATTAAAATATGTACAAGTATTTATCCAAAATTGGAGAAAGAAAGTTTAAAAAATCTTATTAGGGAATCTTTCAAAGGTTGTCTTCTAGTGATAAGGCAAAGATTTCTAGAAATTATCTAAAATAATCACACAAACTAGAAAACTCTGAAATTAACAAGTCTAAAGTAAAATGTGAAGTAAAATTATCATAGAATAATCAAGTATATTTTCAAAGTTTCACAGTTGTTATAATTTGAGACATCAATGTGCTATTGCTGGTAGTGTATACTGCCTTGAACAATAAAATTTTGACTAACTTTTTCCATTTGAAGTTATATAATGTGCATCTTATTTTATTATTAGTCTCTTTCATACCATTAGTATAAGTAAAATGAGTAATTGATGATCTAATAACCTAACTTACTGTGTGAATCCTGTTATTTTCATTATGTAGCTTGGATCATCCTTAATTCCTAGGAAGAAAGAACAGCATAAAAATTTTTCAACTCATCATTGATTAAATATCAGAAAAGATTCTGAATATGCACTGAAGTGCCAAGAAGCCAAAGGAGGAAGAAT